GAGTGTTAAATTAACACTGCTCGGAGCATATATGGTCCCACTCTAAAAGAGTGTTAAAGTAACACTGAAGCAGTGTTAAAGTTAATGAGATAATTATGTGATTAATTAAGTGCTGATTGAGCATTAATGATGAACACCTGCTGTTAACAAGCAGAATCACTGAAGAAAAGAGAAACACAAGAACTACAACTGACTTCAGCCACAGCCTAAGATGAAATCAACTGAAATAAAAGACATTAAATCTCTCAAGATTTCAGTAGAAGATAATTAAACATCTCCACAAACAACATCACCAGCTTCATGCATTACTAACCAGTTAGACTTTATTTCTGGAGTATCTAAAACAGAAGTTCTTTATTGAGAATTAATGTTTAGATGTTTTTTTTTTTGTTTTACTTACCGTTTTGGTGAATAGTTTTTGCTCTTATGGTTTCTATATTAATGCAGTTCTATGATAGGAGGTGACAATGTTAGAAAACTTTATAAACCACTTTTAGAAATAAGGTTTATGAAGAGGTTTTAATTCTGGCACAAAACAAGGCAGTAAAGTCACAACAAAAATAACAGCAAATAGTAAGAATAAAAGAAAATACTAAGACAATGCAGCTGCATAATTTATTCATGGCGCAATGCATGCTGGGAGCCATGGATGAGTTATGATTGGTGCACCCAGAATGCAATGCAACATGACTCTGTCTGATGATTGTCACCATTGTTGAGATTCATATGCTGATTCTTGATGTCTGCGTGTCTAAACAGTACAGATGTTATGAACTGTTGTGCAGAGTGTTTTTAAATTACCTCATATTGTTTCTTTATAATCCAGTTGTGATCAGTAACATAAACTAAATTATACATTCACCACTGATGACATCAGTTAATCAAGCTATACATGACAACTACTTCATTATCAAAAATGGTCAACATAACCTGATCACATTTACTCTTGGTTTGTCTTACTATAACAAATGTGTTTCAAAAACACAGCTACAGCAACCAGAGAATAAATAATGTCAAAAAGTCAAGGGTCAAGAGCTCAACTAAAGCAAACGCTTATCTCCACAACGGTGACTTCAAATGTTATTCTTTTCAATAAACATTAACTAAACCTCTGTTAATTCTTAATAAGAAATTTTTAGATGCATGACAAAAAAAGTCAAACTCAGTAATGTGTGAAGCTGGCGATGCTGTTTGTGGAGATGATTAATCATCTTCTGCTGAGATCTTGAGAGATTTAATGTCTTT